GGAATGCCCTGCACTTCCAGCTATGAAGGCAAAATCTCTCCAGGCAGGCTCACACAGTTTTTCTGAAACATCTCAACAATGATTTCCTCAAAAGGAAATAAAGTTCTGGCATAAGTTAATCTTCCGTGTCAAGTTCTCAGTGTTAAACATACTTTCAAGCCAGCCACACAAACAAAACCAAACTCCACAAAATTAGGTTGGGCTGAGTTACATAAGGCAGACTAAACTGTGGCTTTTTTCTTGTCATTCCTCCCTCCTTCCAATGGACTGGGACACTCCTCTTTGAAGTGCTAGCATGCACGGGAGAAAAACGCCTATCTGCAAACAGCTTCAAAACAGGCGATGGTATTTCCAATATCCCCCTTACTACTCAGAAAGTGAGGAAGACTAGGAAACTTTGAGTTGGCCTGTGTCTAGGAGCTTCTCTTAAAAACTCGCCTTGAAAATTATTTTTCAGTCGGTACTTATTTCAAGGTACTAAGTTAACAAAACACATTTTCAAAGCTCCCTGAGTCTTTGCATACCCATGACATGTATGCTGAGCCTACCTATCAGCACCGACGATATTCTAAATACAGGGTTTTCAACAGAGAAGGACAAAAACGCGGGTTCCCAAGAGCGACACATCCAAATGAAGAAACAATCCTTCCTCCTCCAGCACTAAACCCAAGTTTCCTGCACTCCCCCCTCCCCCTTCCACTCCCCTTTCACTGCCCACTTTATTCCGCTTTATTCCCGAGAAGCCTCTCTCCTGGCTTATTAAGGGTAAACAATAGAAATGTCACAAGGAAACTCAGGAAGTAGATGAAGTCTCTAATTGCTGCCGTTTAACGATCGCACATAATTACTATCTTCAAAATGTGGTTTCTACAAGCTGAGAGGGAGGCGAGGCAGGCGAGGCTGCCGGGCGAAGCTGGCGAGCACTCCGCCGCTGCCCCGACGCTGGGAGGGCATCTGGGAGGCGGCGGACCAGGACAGACAGACCGAGGCTAGCAGCGCCCAGGCCCGGTGCGGCCGCATCCTTGCCCCTCCCCTCTAGGCCAATCGGCGGAGAGAAGCGAGGGCCAGCCAGCCGGCTGGGTCACAGACAGTTCAAAGCCCTCGGGCTGCCGCAGCCCGCAGCGGTCACCATAACAATATGCAAAGCGCAGCCCGCAGATTTCACCGCCCGCCCAGCCGCGTCCACCCCTCAGTGCTCACAGCTCCGGGGCCCGGGGCTAGGGTCCGCAGGGGGCAAAGGGCCCCAAGGGCCGGAATCGGCTGGCCGCTCAGCTTCGGAAAGCGACCCCAGGAGGAGCCTGTGACGGTGGCCCCGTACCCCGGTTCCCTGTCTGGCCTTCCCAACCCGGGCGCCGGCCGGACCCCGGG